TGATTTTTTTTTTTTTTTTTTTTTTGTGAGATCCCACGTGATTGGAGATTAGAACTTTTAAAACCTCGAGGAAAAACCCAAAAAAGACGATATCTGCTAGCGGTGGGCTGTTACAAATGGTATCAAAGCCAAGCATCGAGTAGTGTGCCAGCATGAATGCTAGTCCCCAAGGGCGTGGATTGTGAGATCCCACATTGGTTGGAGAGGGAAATGAAGCATTCCTTATAAGGGTGTGGAAATCTCTCCCTAGTAGATGCGTTTTAAGAACCTTGAGGGAAAGCCCGAAAGGAAAAGTCCAAAGAGGGCAATATCAGCTAGTGGTGAACTGGGGCGGTTACACTTTTCTTGCATGTCCATCTATCAGAAAAGAAATATCTTGTGGGTGGTATATTGACCATCTAAATTGTATGATTCATCTTGCAGAAGAGCACATCATCCTATTGCCTGGGTTTGGCGATTAAGGAGCTGGCACAATCATCTCATCTCTCAAAAGCTGTCGTGGTTTCTGAGTTGTCGAATCAAAATTCGAAATGGATGCAAAAGGCATTGCTTGGGTCGGGCGTTTGTACCAAAAGTTCGAAACTATGTGCCTCGAGGTAGAAGACATTATATGTCAGGTATGCTTTTTGAAAGTTTGATATTCAGCTGTCTACTCTCACACTACAGTCAGATTCTGCTGAATGTTTGACTTTAATTTGTCTTGTGTCTGAAAATGTCAAACTCCTGTTGACTTGGTCTACTCTTTTGACCTGATCTTGAGACAGGACACTGTTAAATATGTTGAGAATCAAGTGGAAGTAGTTGGGGCAAGTGTCAAAAGGTTCTATTCTGATGTCGTGCAAGATTTACTTCCCCCAGCTGAATTGAATGATGAGAAGAAAGTGGCAGTTTGTAGTTCAGCTCTTGAAAAATATGAAAATGTTGTTATAGTTAAGAAACCCGTGAGGGGTATGAAGATAGAGCGTTCTAAAGCTGATGAAGAAAAGTCTACTGCAAACTTAAAAGTCACTACCGACACCAAAAGATATATTGTCCATAAGCTGCCTCGTCGAGACAACCATGCCAATAGTCCCTTATTGGCGTCCTCTCCATATTCTGCTAGCAGTGCCCAAATTGATGGGTATTCCCGAAAAAAGGATGAAGATAATATACGTCATAAGCTTGACCTAACAAAAGGGTGCGAGTCTCTAACTGAGACTACTACAACAATCCTTGAGAAGAAATCTGCAAATGAGGTATCATCATGCTGCGTAATCTCGAATAGACAATGTGAAGCTTCGAGCGAGCTACCAGGTAATACAGGAACCATGTTGTCGGTCGAGGACGCAAGGTGTGATTCATTGGTGCAGAGTTCGAATGAGACTGGAATTGAGTCGGACAACGTATCATCATCAAAATCCATTGGGGACGATAAAATGGAAACAAGACCTCTATCGTATGGTGATTCTTCAGCGGAGTTAGATGGTAAATATATCTTCTGCTCTATTATGTCATACACCCTTACGAATAATGTTTTGTATTCCTCCAACTGATGTGAGATCTCATAATCTACCCTCTTGGGGGACTAGCGTCCTCGCTGGAACACCGCCCAACGTCTAGCTCTAATACCATTTGTAAAAGTCCAAACCCACCACTAATAGATGTCCACTTTAACCCATTATATATCGCAATTAGCCTCACGATTTTAAAACGCATATGTTAGGGAAAAGTTTTCATACCCTTACAAGGGATACTTTGTTCTCCTCTACACCTGTTGTGAAGTTTTTACACCCTTATAAGCAATGTTTCGTGTTTTCATATCCTTACAAGGGATACCTTGTTCCCCTCTCCAACTGTTGTGAAGTTTTCACCCTTATAAAGAATTTTAATGCCCCTCTTTAATTGATGTGGAATTTCATAATTCAACTATTTGGTGAACTGGCAACTCGAAGTAGTTCTAACATCCGTGGTGGTTGTACATTCATTTACGATCAGGGATAGTTATGGTAAAATAGTGGAAGACTGACATCATTCATAGAAAATCTGAAATAATATCTTTCAAGTAATCTTATTTTGTTTACACACTCTGCAATGATGATTTAGTTTTATTTTAGTGTATCTGATAAACATGGTTGTAATCATATGTTACACAGGAAGATCAGGTTCATGGAGTCTTGATGAAATTGAGCATGAGGCTACTGTCCTTGAACATGTAACAGACGAAATTCAACAAGCAGATGAAATGAAACTAGACGAAGCCTGCGTATTGGTGAACGGAGTTGACTTTCCTTTCGATTCGAACGAAGAAGTCAAGCATAGAACTTACAAGGTACTCTATTTGCTCTCCCCATAGCATAATCCAACCCCAAGTTGCAGGTTGGTTCCAGTTTTACTCCTCGTTCACTGAGTTCTCTGCTTTGCCCCACAGAAGAAGATAGCTGGAGCATTCTCCTTCACAAAGAAGTCAAAGAGGAAGCAAGAATACAAAGAGCTAGCGTTGAAGCATGGTTATGGCTCCAGTACGTTCCCGAACGAACAGAAACAACTAACTGAAGATGTTTCAGAACACGATTGGCAGCTTCTCTAAGCTTGGAATCTGCAAGAACAGATTCCATGGTTGTTAAAGCACTTGAATGAACCTCATGTATAAAAAATAACCCCCCAATGTGAGAAATCTGCAAAAACAAATATCAGAATCTCAGTGTGCAGAAGCATTATATATTTCATTATATGAAAGTGGCAGGAACCAGTTGTTGTACCACTCTCTGTATCAGAGCTAATTACATCTTATAAGCTTGTTACTTCGTAGTCATGATGAAAGCTTGTGCATATTCTTTCAAGATCGAGTTTGCTTTTGCTTCTGGGTCCTTCCTGAAAGTGTCATTTTACATGATGAAGGAAGCGATTGGAGGAAACCATCAAGAACTGCACTATTGAAACTGTTTGTGTTTGATAACAAGGGATGATACAACAAGGATGGTCCAAACATGGCCAAATTTTAATTTATCCTTTTCCCTCTGTTTTTTAGATCTTTTGTGCTAATAATACATATTTAACTACAAGTACAACTATTCTTACAAAATTCATAGACAAAAAAGATAGTTGAAACAAATTAAGAAAATCCCAAGAAGCAAACTGGGATCTTGATCCAAGTACAATTCTATCCTAAAACGAAATGTGGCAAATGAGCAAAAACCAATCTTCGTAGACAAAACAGATGAGTTGAAACAAATCAAGAAAATCCCAAGAAACAATCTAGGATCTTGGTCCAAATAAAATTCTATCCTAAAACGAAATGTGGCAAATGAACAAAGAACCAAACTTCGTAGACAAAAAAGATTAAGTTGAAACAAATCAAGAAAATCCCAAGAGACAAACCGGAATCTTGGTCCAAGTAAAATTCTATCCTAAAACGAAATGTGGCAAATGAACAAAAACTCCACCCGTCAACAAGTTGCTTAGTCACCCCATTCAGGTCGGCTACTTCCATACCACCTGGCCATTCACACCCACACGTCCACCTCCATTCTAGACCCTCTCTTAAAAAAATACCGCCCCTCTCTGTTATTTAACATCATAATCCATTTCCATTTCCTCAGATCAAATTTTCAGCAAGAAAGAAAGAATACAAACACCACAAACAGAAAAATGGCGACAGAGCAACTGAGCCGCAGAGATGACACCACGAAGGAAAAAGAGACTCAGGTGGAGAGAGAAAGAGTCCCACAATTGGCAAGCCACTTTGAGGCCATTGCTGTGCACGGCAAAACGACTGACCCCAGTAATGAAAAAGCTACAACACCAGAAGAAACGAAGGCGAGACAAAGGAGTGATGCTAGTGGAGTGGGGAAAGAGACGTATGGCACCGGCATTGCTAGAGGGACAGTTCAAGGAAGGGAGGAGGAGAGACAGGGAGTTGGAGGTGAGAAACCAGAAGACAGCCATGAATTGGCTGCTCAATTTGAGTCTCTTGCTGACAAAGTAAGAGACAAGAGAGAGACTAATACAGAGAATGAAAGGGAGAGGCAAGCACGTGCTGATAAAGAGAGAATTGCTGCTCGTGAGAGAGAGCAAAAAGGTCGAGCAGAGGAAAAACGGAGAGCTTCAGAACAGGCAAAAGAGAAAGAAGGTGAAATAGGATCTCGTCAAGATCAACCGACTCTTGAAGAAATTTCCAATTACAGAGCTATAGCACAGCAGAAATCGAACGAGGCAATAATGGCGGCAAAGGAACGGTATGACAAAGCAAACAAAAAATCACTCGAGAAAGGAGTTGAAGCTGGAACAGGGGAAGCAATACCGAGAGGCACAGAAGAAGCTGAGGACACAGTCGAAGAGGGAAATCAATATACAGGTTTAGAGACAGTGAAAGAGACGCTTACAAGTGCAGCCAAAACAGCAAAGGATTACACCGCGCCAATAGCAGAGAAGGCCAAAGATTACACAGTCTCTGCCGGTCGAACAACAGCTCATTACCTTGGGGAGAAGGCGGTGGTGGCTAAGGATGTTGCAATAGAAAGTGGGAAAGTTGCAGCTGAGTATGCAGGTAAAGCAGCAGAGGATTTGAAGGATAAGACGGCAGTTGCAGGGTGGAGCACGGCCCATTACTCATGTGACACGGCGGTGGAGGGGACTAAAGCAGCAGCAAGGCTCGTGAAGGGAGCTGCAGAGTACGCAGGAGCCATTGCAGCCAAGCCCTTGTCTGCTGCAAAGAATGTTGCTGAATCAACAGGCGAGACTGTGAAGGACTATACAGCCAGGAAGAAAGAAGAAGCACAGAGAGAATCAATGTACAAGCAAACTGAGAAAGAATCCATGTACGAAAAAACTAAGGAAACTTTTGAAGGGGGTATAGAAGAAGTGAAGGAAAGGGGAGGAGAAAGAGGTGAAGAGAACAGAGTTGAAGAGGATAGAAAAGATGGGGGGATATTAGGAGCAATTGGGGAGACCATATATGAGATTGCACAGACAACAAAAGAGATAGTGATTGGGCCTGGTGATGAGACTGGGAAACAGAGCACATTAGGCTTTGAGCTTGGTCAGGAAGAGGGTGAGGAAAAAGGCCAAGAACATGTAAAGAAAGAGCACTATGAAACTGCGGCCAAGAAGGAACACAGAGCCTGATACAAACTTGACTGTTTAAAGTGGTTTGTGAGTTTTTATGTTTCGGAATTCCTGGAAAAGGGTTGTGGGAAGAATGGATTATGTGTTTTTAAGTTTGTTCGTTTATGAGGTGTAAATAAAATTGAGTGTCTGTGGATCCTCTTTGTTCTTTTGAAGTGGAATTTCCCTGTACTGTGTAGAGTCCTGTAAGGGTGGAGTTTTCATAGAAAGTAAAGGCTGCTCCCAAAATAAAATGAAACAGTACAATAAAATTCACACTGTGAACAAGAGCTGAACAGAAACTCAAATTAAATATGAAATTATAGTGGTAAGTATTAGTTTGACTTAGAATTTAGAATTCCAAAATTCACATGATATTCTGGGCTCAGAAAAACCACCTCTTATCCATGAGATAAAAATAGTCGGTCAGCAATACTATATCACACAACAAGAACGCTACCCCAAATTTATACACATTTTCTATACTATCCACGTTCCCAGACTTTATTTTTGGGAGAAGAAAGCCTTACAGAATCCATGACGAAGAGGAGGTCGACAATTCAAGATTCTTAGGCAACTGCAACTGCAACTGCTACTACATAATTGCTAGAGAATTGTCACATGCTGTGACCTGCAGAAGTAGTAATGTAAGTAAGCAATGGATATTTTGTACGGCAAAACTACCGGCATCTAATTTCTAATCAAATTCTATCGTATGTTACAAATTATTACAATGGAAATTGATCCTTCCTCGTCCAGAGACTTGACTCTAAACATCTACTACCACCTAAGAAATAGGCCACTACTTTTGTTTCGCATTCACAAGGATCGCTCGATTCCCGATTCGGAATCTTTGCACTGTACACCAATTACATATTCGAGATCCATCATCTGAATTCCTCTGTAGTAGTAGTAGACAAGACATTGGATCTACCTTCTTTCATTCCATAAAATATCAAGCGATCGTTATTCAACCTGAGATGACATAGAGATTCTTAGAATGGCAAGACTGTCAACAGCGAGAAAATAATTGAAAATGTAACCATAGCATAATCAGAAAAGTGTTGTTATTTCTACATTAAACTTCAATAAACTACTTGATTGCTCTAAACTTGTAGTGCGTGTGTTGTACATAAAAATCTAATGAATGGTTTCGACAGCTACAGATAGCATTCAATAGAAGAAGTCAACTGTAAGCAAAGGCACAAGTTGAAGACACCACAGAACATCGTCATATATCCCCGTGTAATTTATCATTATATACATATACACAATAAGTAACTAATCTTAAGCTTAAATTGGATTCCTCCAAATGATTTGGTTTTGATAGCAGCTGTCAAAAAAAAAAAAAACTTAAATCATGGCATGTAACAACTTAGTTATGTCCATTATTACCTGAATAGAAGGTCAATGCGATGGTGATCCTGCATCAGATCCTGATGCTGAAGAGCTGTCACTATCAGAATCTGCAACACAAAAATGAAAAAGAAAACTGCTGATATATGATACATACCATGTAGACAAACTCTCAATGAAAACAATGGTACCACATTTTATAAGAAAATCTAAGTAAACAAATGTTGTACTTACCACTAGACGAAGATCCCGAATCACTGCTAGAGCTACTTGAGCTGCTGGACTTACTCGAATGATCCTTCTGTTGTCCCCCTCGAAAGGGTGAGGAAGAGGAAAGAACATTTTCATCTGCTTCAGAATAACATAAACTTTAGTACCTCTGTTCACTTGACAATTAAAAACCAAAACCCCACCATATTCTGTATATAAACAGGCTGACCTGTTCTATTTTCTCTAAAAACCTTTGAACCATCAGGGGCTGGGGTCTATAAGACAGAACAACAGATCTTTAATTAGCAAATAACAGTTGATTTCAATTAAAATAAATGCAACTGGAAATTCATATGTAGGGTTTACCTCCTCCTGGTCATTATGCTCAGCTTCTGCTCGAGCCTTCAACATAGCGAGTTCAGCCTTCCTCTTATTCTTGCTCATACTCTTCCTGTAGTTCGAAACAAGTCTGTCAAGCTCCCACAGAGTCTCGGTGTCGATATTATCAATGTCTACTTCTATTTCATCATCTTGTTGGAGAAGTTCAAAGTTCCTCTTTTTAATAATCTGTAGAATGGTATCTAGCTTCTCAGAGGGTAAATTCTGAAGGTTCGTACTGAGCCTTTTCTTTTCATTGTAAGTCATATCCCTTTTGAATGGATCTTTTGCCTGGGGTTTCTTCAGTGAAGCTGTTCTCGCTGATGGAGTCACACTCATCGGTTGTGTCTTGGAATCTGCTGGATTTATCAATGACTCTGACCTCCGTAGAATCTTTCTCATGTCAAGAGGAGGAACTGGCGAAGGAAGGTGTCTCATTGAATTAGAAGATGGAAGAGTATCCCGAAATTCCATTCCCAACCTCATCTCCTGATGATAATTTGATTCTATAACAATCCACCTGTCCTCAAAGATTTTCAGTAATTGTTCTGCCATTACGTGAACATCTTGCCCTTCTGAATTATAAGTCATAGCATTATGAAAAGTAAGTCTTACATCCTCCGCAAATTCTTTAGGGGACTTGTACCAATTCTTGTGTAGCCTCATTTTCACCGTACCCAAGTCCATTGGATGTCTGATAATGCTACAATAATCATGCAAACCAAGCCCCTCTGCGTCGACCGGAGTATTAAACACCCAGCCATGCTTATGTTTCATCAATTTCTCGAGTAAAGAAACACAAGCATTGAAAATTTTAGTAGCCATGCCAAAACCAAGCTTTAACTTTTTACTACTATGCTTTTTCCCATTTAATTTGGACTTTTTATTGCTCTCAGCCGGAGGAATCTTATCTTTTGCAAGCAAGAATTCGGAATTCCGATAGAATTGGTTTGCTTTTGGGGTCCTCTTCTCCCTTTCCATGAAATCACGCGTCCCTTTACCATTCTCTATAACTGATATGCTTAACTGGGGCAGTGGTCTGGTATCATCCGTCAGAACACCTACGGAACCTACTTCTGAATGTACATGATAGGCTCCACAAACGTTATCAGCCATTTCGATTGTTGAAATGTGAGAACTTGTATGTTCGATATATAACTGCTTCTGTATGGCTTCAATCCTCTTCACCAAATTTCTCACAATTTCAAGCTCTCTCTCAAATTTCCGCCGAATCTCTTGCATTTCCTGCTTCGGCTTAAATGCACAATTGACCTGATTCTGTACGCCAGAACCTGTTTGAATGACCCCATTATCAGCAGGAAGCTCTGGAGTAGCCTCCGCAGTCTGCCCAACAGCTGCCTGTCCATCAAGCCTCGTCAAATCGTCAGAGGCAGCATTCGGTAAAGGCTGCTGCTGCGATAGATCCGCATTTTCCAATGCTTCTGAATGCGGCACTGCCTGGCCTGAACTGTTATTGAAGCCTTCAACATTGCTAAACGAGGCGGTAATGGTATTCCCATTCTTCACACCTCTGAACGTTTTCCTTCTGTAAACCTTACTCAGAATGCTGCTTAATTCTATCTTCATTTCCCCCTCCAGCTATAGGCGCTGAAGCCATACAAACAATCAAAACACCCAAAACCCTTAAACCCTCCTTCAATCCTCAAAAAGTTGAATTATCCGTCCCAAGGGTTTCCCTTTACCCAAAAAGAAGTTGAAACAAAACACCCCAAGAAACTCAAATCTCTAGGTAATTAAACGCCAACGCCATTCAACAAATTAAACCAAACAAACAAAGAAAAAAGTACATCAAACATACTAATCTCTAGAGTTCACAAAGGATCCAAGAACACCGCATCAAATAAGCCATACAAACAAATAAAAGACGTCAAACGGCACAAAACGTTAGGGTTTAGTGTGCCGGAGAAACCAAACTTCCGGCCAGATCCGGCTCCGTTGTTCTTGAGAGAAAAAAAAAACAAAAAACAAAAAACACAAACAAAACCCACCTGGTCTCTAAAATTCACCGCCTTACAATGTCGTAACGTTACAGGTGTACGGCAGAAGCGATGATCGTGGCCCGCAGCGTTTTATATGACGCGTTGGGACGGCATCGAAAGGCCCGTGCGAAGAACTGACGATAGTATCCAGCGTTTACGCGCGATGGTGGAAAGTGTAGCGCACGGTCCAATGGAAATAAAGGAGGGAAGAATATACCGGCGAGAAAACTGGACGGCGTGGATTATTGGTGGGGGCGGATCAATGGCGAGGTACTGGTTTTAAGAAGCTTCGAAGAGTTTGATTCTTATGAAAACAACGAAGAAGATTATGTTTCGAAGCTACAGAACGGAAGGACTTTGCCGCTAAAATTTTTCCGCCAGTTCCGGCGACAATTTTATAGCATAAATAACTCAAGCCCAAGCCCAAGCCCAAATCCAAACTCAAGCCCAAGACCAAGCCCAAGCCCAAGCCCAATAATGAGTAATTCCAAATTCGCTATAATTCTCAAATTTTGTGATATTTATTTTAATCTATATATATATACATACATATTCAACATTTTTAAAAGGATATCATTGGTCATTCTTCTAAAGGGTATCATTGGAAAGTTGTCAGAAACTCGTCTCCCACACTGATATTGAAAAATATTGATCCCAATTCAGTTTTTTCCAACATATATTATCTTCTTTAAATTTTTTCTTTCGGGTTTCCCCTCAAGGTTTTTAAAACGCATAGGGAGAGATTTTCACACCCTTGTAAACAATGTTTCGTTTCCCTCTCCAACTGACGTGGGATCTCACAGTAGTTTTATAATGTCTATTCGTCTCACCCCAAACTCGAAAATCAAAAGAAAAGTAGGGCGACCTAAATTTTTGGTATGACCAAATAAGGCGAATAAAGAAACAATATGATTGTGTAACAGCTAATATATATTTATAATATATATTTATAGCAAGATGTATGATATAATATATGATATCCATACATACGAAAAGGCTATAAAAGGCAATCCAAGTAGATTCCTAGTTTTTTTAATTAAGAAAATTAAATAGGAAATAAATTAATATGATTATACACAAAAGTACCAAATTTAGAATTAAGCACTCATAAGAATCTTTTACGCTAATTAATCATTAAAATGAATCTTGATTTGATGATTAAATTAATAGTTTTAATTAATAGTTGGGATTATGTAAAATAACGAGAATGAGATGAGCATTAATCGATTAAATTAATAGTTTCTTTTAGATTACGTCTCACTTTCAACCCATATTTATGGATATTTTTTTTTATAGATGAATCTCGGTTTGTAATAGCTCAAGCTCACCGCTATTAGATATTATCTGTTTTGGCCTGTTACGGATTAGCCTCACAATTTTAAAACGTATCTACTAGGGAGAGGTTTCCACACGGTTCTAAGGAATGTTTTGTTCTCCTCTCCAATTGATGTGGGATCTCACCCGATTATGAAAACGAAAAAAATTAAGAGAAAAAAAAGTATCGAACTTTATATTATAAATATGTATATGTGTGTATAATATCTCGAGCTGGTTACAACAAAAGCTTCTCACAAACCGGGGGGAAGATAATGTTTGCACTGAAACAAACAAACAAAGCTCCTCCATTTTATTATCAACATGGAACACACATACATATTAATGTACCTTCCTCGACTCAAACATGGTGTTCGGGGTCAGGTCCACCAGGGACGATCCTCTCTGATCCAACGAGCAATCGCTGCGTGCCGTGTCGGAGCTCAGAGAGGCGAAAGCCAATCGCTTTACGAAGAAGAAAAAGTCGGGTCGTTTCCGGTGGTGCAATAACGTCGCGTGTGTGAAGAACTCTGGCATGAGAGCAAAGGCAGAAGAGGAGGAGGAGGAGGAGGAGGGACATGGGTGCATTGCTAGCTCGAGCCATTGGTGCAATTGTGGTGCTATTCAAATTGCAGGGGTTGCTGACTGATGCAGCCACGGTTGTTCTTACATATTTATAGGAGTCGTTCAGGCTTATCATTACAGTTCAATCCATTCAAAAGTGGGTTTTACTTATTCTCTTTTTTATGGCTAAATGTCAAATTTAGTGCTCTAATTATAAAAAAAAAAAGCTTTAGTTCTTTCGTGAAAATGTCACGATAATATTTAAATGCTAACGGGACTTATCGATTCATAAGTTGATACGATATTAAAATAAATGGCATAAGAAAAGATCAACATATCTCCGGTTGTTTCTCGCTAAGTTTTTGCTAAACCTGTTTTTTTCGATCAATTTATGTCAAATCGTCGTTTATAGTAAATTTTCTAATATCACATGGTGGGGATAATGGTTCTCGACATATCTCCACAATAGTATGATGTTGTTCACTCTGGGTATGAGTCGTCGTAGTTTTGTTTTTGGTTCAACCCAAATAACCCCGTACCGCTAGAGATAATGTTAAACTGTGACACTCGAGTAGAATAGGAGTACGTGAAGGAATCATGACCACATCCGAATGAGAGCGATTATGAACAACCCAAGCCCACCGCTAGCACATAATGTCTTGTTTGAGTTTCTCCTCAAGGTTTTTAAAACGCGTCTGCTTAAGAGAAGTTTCTACACCCTTATAAATAATGTTTTGTTCCCCTATCCAACTGATGTGGGATCTCACCATCCACCCCCTCCAGGGCTCAGCATCCTCGCTAACACTCGTTCCTCTCTCCAATCGATGTGGGATCTCATAATCCACCTTCCTTCGGGGCTCAACGTCCACGTTATCTCTCGTTCCCCTCTCGAATTGGTGTGGGATCTTAACAATCCACTACTTTCGGGGCTCAGTGTCCTTGATGACATTTATTCATTTCCCTCTCCAATCAATATAGGATCTCACAATCCATCTCTTTCGAGGCCAGTGTCCTTGCCAGCACTCATTCCTCCATCCAATCAATGTGGGATCTCAACATCACTCTTAGAAGCGAGAAATAAGTAACTTGATTATGTCGTTAAATATTATTTATTTAGTAAAAAAGAAAGCGTAAAAGATATCATTTTACATTTAATTATTTTGTTTTACCAAAGATTAAAGTTTCCATTTTAAAAAAAAATGAAATTTTTTATAAATTAATAAAAAATTTATTAGTAAAGGAGTGGAAGTGAACCGACAAATCGACACAACGGCAAGGGCTGTCGTTTTCTCCATGCAATCAGGATTCAAGCTTTTATTCCGTGTGTAGCTTCTATTACTTTATCTTAATTGTCTTTTTCCTTTTATAAAAATAATATTTAAAAAAAAACAATTTATTAGTAATTAATTTATCCGATTAATCAAATGCTTTTTATTATTATTTTTAAAAATTATATTTAAATCACTTTATATTTTTTAAATTTTATTAGTGACAATATACCATTAATATTTTGATGTAAAAATGGATAAATAAATAAGCTGAGACTAAATTTAAAAAAATAATTTTTTTTTTTGTATAATTTAAGGTAATAGTAATATAAATATTCCATAAATGTTGGAACCATATAATTTCATTTTACCTTGAAGATTCTTATTATTGTTTTTTTTTTTTCACCATAAAATATTAATTTAATGTAAGAGATAATGGGAAAGTCTTTTGAAGCTTAATGGAAAACAATGATCATCAAACATAGTTTATATGAATGGAAATCCCATGCCAACATTCACAATTATATTAATTATTATAAAACCTTTACCTCAAAAGCCTTACAATTAAATTAAATTAAATTATTCATATTTAATAAAGTCTTCGACTTTTAATTTTATAAATAAATAAATAAAAATTTGATACGGGAATAAAATAGGGGTACATGAATGAACCAATAGCATCTAAATGAAAGTCACTACCTATATTAACAAGATGCACATTTCTTTTCAGTAGCTCAGTCATATCGCAGGAGAATGTCGAGGCTATCAGGTGTCGATTTCGAAATCTGAATCCTGGGTATGGGTCGTTACAAGTTTAAATATAAGAGGTCACTAAAATTTCAAATTTGTGTTTCGTATATGTTCAACATTTTTAAATTTTATAAACCTGTATTTGATGTTGTATGAGAATGTTATCAGAAAGTAATTAAAAGAGTCTGTGATACATCATGACACAAAAACAGTAGATACTCGTAAAATCGTTAGATGGTATTGTACATCTAGTCAAAGTTATTCGAGTTCAGCTCCGGTAGAAAAACCGTGTCTTAGTACCAACTTGTAACAAAAAAAAAATGTATAGACTCGGTGGACAATTGGGCATTGTTTTGACCAAAAACGACCAATGTGGAGCACAAATGTGAGTATACAAATCTAAACCTAACCCTAATTCCTTTAATGGACATTTGTTTTTAGCAATTTTGAGAACTTGTTTAAGAACAAAACAAAAACTTTGTTAGGCTAATTATTTTTATTTAATTAATTTAATTAATTAATTTATATTTTGTTTGGCTAAATTATGAGTGGCTTTGTTTTTTTGACCCAAAAAAATTTAATTAATTAATTAATTTCCTTTTGGTTTCAAATTATAAATTGACAATACATAGATTCTCTTCTCCAATTGGAAATATTTATGCATATAGTGGAATCTACACCCAACCATAATTAATTAATTAATTATGTTTTTTTTTGTTTAAAATAAATAAAATATAAAATAATTTCTATTTGCTTTATAATTTTATAGGTCAAATTTGGATTCTTTTGTGGGGTTGAATCTTATCTTCAAGATTCTTTATTTGGTTTTGCCACTCCAACAATAATTATTTTTTATTCCTTTTTAATTTATTTTATTTTTTAAAAAAGTCTTCAATTTTTTTGAATTTTTTTATTTTAACATAATTATTAATAGTAAAGTTTTTTTTTTTAATAAAAAAAATAAATTTGACCTCTCGACCTTCGTAAAGGTAATCATTTAGGTTCTGAACTTTATCATTAAATATCGGACTTAGTGTTTGTAATTTTTAATCACATTTGTTTCCTAATCTTAACGATCTAGTATTAAAAAATATCATAAATAATTTTAACGATAAGGACTGATTCTCGACAAATAGATTCAAAATGTCAACAACAAGATTCAAACTTATGCAGACACAACTCAATAGATTTCAAGTATGTCTCCTTAATCACTTAAACACATCAAAGTTTGTTAAAAAAAATTATTTTTAATTCTATAAAGTCAGGATTAAATCATGTTCACAAACGTCTTTTGTGGGGAGACTATCAATACCCACAAATTGTTATGTAAATAGATTCGTGGATAAATGAAATTGAGACGTTTCCTTAGAAATTCCAGTATCATCTTTGCCATTTCTAAGTTTCAAGCCATTCTTGTGTAGAACTGCATCTTAGTCATTCAATCAACCCTTGATCTAAGGTCA